CCAAAAATAAAAAGCCTGTCCGTTGCAAATGGATTTTTAAAAGAAAGGAGGGTATTTCTCCAAGTGAGCCAGCAAGGTATAAAGCAAGGTTGGTTGCTAAAGGTTATAGCTAGATTCCAGGTATTTACTATAATGATGTCTTTTCTCCAGTTGTTAAGCATAGTTCTATTCTTACTTTGCTTAGTATTGTTGCCATGCATGATTATGACCTTGAGCAACTAGATGTTCAAACTACATTCTTACATGGGGAGTTGGAAGAAGACATTTATATGAACCAACCTGAAGGTTTTGTTATTCCTGGGAAAGAAAACCTTGTTTGTAGACTAAAGAAGTCTCTTTATGGTTTGAAGCAATCTCCTAGGCAATGGTATAAGAGATTTGACTCTTTTATGCTCTCTCATGATTTTAAGCGGTCTAGTTATGATAGATGTGTTTATTTGAAGATTGTTAATGGCTCAGCTATTTATTTGCTTCTTTATGTTGATGATATGTTGATTGCTGCAAAAAATAAATCAGAAATAGCTAAATTGAAGGCACAATTGAGTAAATAATTTGAGATGAAGGACTTAGGTGCAGCTAAGAAAATTCTTGGTATGGAAATTGTTAGAGATAGAAAATCTGGCAAGTTATACCTCAGTCAGCGAGGTTATATTGAAAAGGTTCTTCGTCATTTCAATATGCATAATGCAAAACCAGTGAGTACTCCATTAGCTGCACATTTCAGATTATCATCAGATTTATGTCCACAGTTAGATCATGAAATTGAGTACATGTCTAGAGTTCCATATTCCAGTGCAGTTGGTTTTCTTATGTATGCCATGGTTTGTTCTCGTCCTAATTTATCTCATGCATTGAGTGTTGTCAGTAGATTCATGGCTAATCCTGGTAAGGAGCATTGGAGGGTTGTTTAGTGGATTTTCAGATATTTGCGAGGTACTTCTAATGCCTGTTTGCAATTTGGGAAATCTAGAGATGGACTTGTTGGTTATGTTGATTCTGATTATGCTGGTGATTTGGATAAGAGGAGGTCTCTCATGGGTTATGTTTTCACTATCGGTGGTTGTGCTGTTAGCTGGAAAGCAAGTTTGCAGGCTACTATTGCTCTGTCTACTACAGAAGCCAAATATATGGCTATTTCTGAAGCTTGTAAAGAAGCTATTTGGTTGAAAGGTTTATACTCTGAACTTTGCGGGGTTACTTCTTGCACTACTATACATTGTGATAGTTAGAGTGCTATTTCTCTGACTAAAGATCAGATGTTTCATGAAAGGACTAAGCACATTGATGTGAGATATCATTTTATTTGAGGTGTTATTGCTGAAGGTGACATGAAGGTGTGCAAGATAAATACTCGTGATAATCCCGCTGATATGTTGACAAAGCCAGTTCCTAGAGCTATGTTTGAGCTTTGCTCAGGCTTAGTTGGTATTACAGTTTAAGTTCTAGTAACTTTTGGTGTTGGTGATTATTTATTATCGAAGTGAGTTGATTGATGATACTTCATTCGCTACAAGATGGAATTCATCTCAAGGTGGAGTTTGTTGGAGTATGATCCGAATTCTAACGTGAGTCTTGCAGGGACGCCTAGAGGGCCCGCGGTTTGGGTTATGTTTATTAGCGGATTTGTTTTCGTATTTGACTGCAGTCAGTCCGTCCTATAAATACATCTCGTAAGCCGCACGGGAAGAGCTAACGACTCATTGTATTCCCTGCGTTTTGTAAACTCTCTCCATATAGTGAAGATCGTCGGTTAGCGCCTGTGGTTTTTCCCGAAGGGTTTTCCACGTAAAAAAATATGTGTCTCGTGTTCGATCTTTATTTGCATTATTTGCTAACACCCTGAGCGTAGCGTTGATGTCTCCTTTTTCCCGGAAAACAGGCACCCAAAGAATCGAACCTTGGCCGTCTGGGGGAGAGGGGGAGTCGCGCGCCAGACGAGGGCGGATGGGATGAGTGATGAGGTTTGATCCAAACAACCTAGTCCGTTGGATTTGAGTGAGTAAGAGAAAGAAGATGCTAGACTCTCGTGCGTTTGTTTTAAAGGTTTGTTGTTTCTGTGTGCATTTATTTTGGTGCATTTAGGAGAGACATTGACTATGGGGAACATTTGTTGGGGTAGCATTAGAGAAGTTTACAACTCGTGCTTTTTACGGTGGTAGAGATAAAGTGTGCTCTCCATGGACTCTGTAGTATAGGCCACAGCTAGCACGGCAGCTTCAGATCACGATATTTTGCACTGTAGCCGGTGTTCATCTTGCCGCATGCCACTGCTGCTCACCACCAAGAGGCTACTACTATTTTGAATTGCACTGCTTCCTTTCAACCTATACCACTTGCGTATATACTTCACATCGGACAAGGATTGCATGCATCACTGTCCGGCGCTGCTTCTTTTTCCCTCCACTAAATTGCTGAGGTGATGAACAACGGGCTACTGATGCTTGCCTCTGTACATCGCCACAACTCAATCAATCCTTGAATTACCTTGCATCGATTTGATCTTGAACTTATATTGTCAACACATCGGGCCCACACCACGGTAGAGGCTTTCTCAATGACTAAAGCCTTCTTCTCTAAATGCACATCAACCTTGCACCGGCTAACACCTTCTATCTACTGCCACACTAACATGTGACCTGCTACTCCATGCTTCTCGATCTGAGGCACACACATACGCCTGTATTTATGCCACAGCAAGGCCTCTTCTCTGATCAATGTATTACTTGCTTGCATGTGTCTATTCTTCTTCTCTACAGTGCCGCACATCTCTTGCTTGCCATGGGAATTGAGGCCCTCCTACTCCACAATGATCCTGTCTTGCCAACATACAGGGCTAACGTACACTACGGTTGCCTTCTCTCATGCACTTGCTAATCTCTCTACCTCCCACAAGCTTGCAATCAGCAACTCCTTGTCTCCATCTGCATCTACTACACCATGGCTAACAATCTTCTTCTTCTACTTCGCCTTAATCTTGTGAAGATCGCATCTTGTGCCGAGATGCCCGCCACACAAACCATATGTCCTCCTACCCCTGCTTCTTCTACACCTGCATCGAGCACCAAGGAGGGCCTGGTGCGTGGCCATCCTCTGCACCGGAACTCATCGTTCAAATAAAGCTGCGACCATAATGGCGGCATCGCGCGCGCGTTGCCATCTCCGGCGAGGAGTGACACGGCACGGGAGGTAGCAGGACGTCGGCCTTCTCCTTCTCACCCTCCTCTCTCTTGGTGAGAGATCAGCATGGCGACGGTGGAAGAGATGGACGTGGGGGTGCTGGACTGCTGGTGCGGCAAGCCTGGTGGCGCTGCCTGTGCGTGGGCAGGAACAGCCTGACGGCGGTGTGAGATGGGATCCGCTGCTAGAAGAGAACTGTCCTGCAAGGCGAGGTCGCAGGTCGAGCTGTGCCCAAGGAATCCAAGGCGAGCTCTACCTCACGTCGTGGAGCGGTGGAGAGCCCTTCTCGCGTCGTGGGGACCGCTTCTCCAGTAATGGATGCAAGCATGAGGGGTGACCGGGTGAAGAAGCTGCTGTGGCTGGTATCGAAGAAAGCTTATCCCTTCAGCATATACTTCTCTGAAGTAGACCTCTGAACGGGAGAAGTACGCTCGTGTACCTGGTTGCCATGGGAAGCAACATATATGTACTCGTTCGGTAAACAATGTGATGTTTATACGGCGACGTTTCCTGTATACGTACCACATATATATTGGGCTAAAATTGTAAATGGGCCGCTGGGAATCTTTGGGCTGCTATGCACAGGAGAATAGTTAATGTGATCGTGAACACCTCTGACTAACGGCGGCAGGTATGGTTATTGAACCCACCAGATGATTTTTTAATATATACGATCTTTCTATAGCTGAATAAAGAGGGTAGTGTTGCACAAAAAAAAATCTGACTAACCAGTGGACCGATGTCGACATTTATCATCATACCACCCAACATCGATCATTGCCAAGTCAACTCGACCTAGGAACAAATTCAAGGGTGCAAGTTATACAGGTGGGCATAAATATTATAGCCACGCACAAAATGTTACAAAAATCTCATACTACACCGACGGTTTCTGTTATTGGAGGCAGACAGCGTGTCCACCTCATGAGCACTGCCCGCTTCTGAAAATTATATTAACAGAGATGGGCAGTAGCTTCATGCGCAGTTGGGGAAGACAGGAAGGAGGAGATTTGGGAGCTAGAAAAAAGGTCATCCGGCAGAGGATCACTCCATCTATCACCACAGTCTATCACCTCATCGGAGTGCTTGTCGTGGTGGCCGGGATTAGAGGCGGCGCGTGCTAGGTTGGGGGAGAAAGAAGCGGCGGTGGGGAAGAACCGCAGGCTCGAGCGAAAGGAAGAAGGACCAGGGTGGGAGAGAAGGGAATAGAACGAAACGTTACTTTGTGTAACCAGTGGTAGTACCCCTTTGAGGAGCTCCGTGAAAAACTTGGAGTTAGCCCTCAACTGCACTTTTTTTAGTGAAGTTTCTAGAGTTGGACCTGTTTGGCATGGAAGTTTGGGAGCATAGCTATAAAAGGTAGAGCAGAGCAGCCCTAAACAGACCCTTAAGGGGGTATTTGGGACTGCTCCACAAACTCTGCTCCACAAACTCCACCGTGGAGCAGCTCCACAAAAAACTGGAGTTTGTGGAGTACCTCTTTAGGTGCTCTCACAACTCCACCCTTTTTCCTGGAGCAGAGTGCGTGGAACTGAAACCGTTTGGCTAAAAAACATAGAGCGAAGCTGAAAAACGTGGAGCGAAGCAGTCCCAAACACGCCCTAAATTACCAAGAAATAAGAACGATTAAATGTATTGATGATTTATATAGGAGTATTCCACAAACAAATAATTGCACGTTCTCATATGCCGAATGAATTAATAACAGGAAAAAAAAAGACTGAAAATAGTACTTTATTATAGTTCGATCGACAATAGCTGCACGCTTGCTTTGTTCATATGATCTGTATGTCTCTTGTTCAACGCGCGTCTGCCTTCATCGATCAGGGTGCCAACGACGGCGCGGAGGCGAAGACGTGCGCCTTGAACTCCTCCATGCGCGTGGGGTCCAGCGACACGGACAGCTGCACCTCGCCGTCGTCCCTCCGGCCGACGAGCACCATCTCTCCGTCGCAGTTCATGGACACGAGCTCCACGCGGGCGGGGCGGCCGAACCCGAAGTCGGACGCCTCGTACACGCGGAACCGCGGGCTGGCCGCCACGTTGGCCCGCCGCGAGGACGGCGACCCCTTCACCTGTTCGATCCACCGCTCCGTGCCGGCCAGCGGCGCCGCCTCCACCTTAGCCACGGCCGCCTGGATCGCGCGACACGCGCCCAGCAGACCGCGCTCGCCCTGCAAGTCTCCGGCGTCCGCCGTCGCGAGGCAGCCCTTGACGCAGTTGCCCAGGTAGCCGTCCCCCACGGGCGGGTCCAGGCGCGCACGCAGGTCGGCCATGAACAAGAGGTACGTGTCGTCACCGGTGGTCAGGCCCTTGGACCGCACGAACGCCGTCCACCCCAGCGCCGACAGCGCCACAAACGTCGACACCGACTTCTTTTTGGTGGTTCTGCTGTTACTACAGTCCACGACGTCGTCCTCCGCAGCGGAAAGCGCGTCGATGCGGCGCTTGAGCGCCCGGATGTCGTCGCCGGTGAGGTAGAATGACCGGCGCGCCAGGCGGAAGCGCTGGCTGATGCCCGAGTCGCACTCCGCCACGGTGCTGGCCTGCACATGAAAGCGATTCCGGGCGTGAGCGTGTCAGTCACGACAGAAACCGTGCAGGTACTCCGTATACGTGTATGTATACAAATACAAAAGTTGTATAAGCTGGGTACTGTACGTAACCCCAGGCAATTTTGGTGCGACCACGGGCAGGTTGGGCGCGACCATCTTCAGCATCTGGCGCGCGAACTCGTCGCCGTTGGGGACGTGGACGGCCTTCCGGCTGTAGTGCGGCGTGACGAGGGACTTGGTGACGGACGAGCCCTCTCGGGCAGCGGACGCCCAGGCGCCCATGAACCTGGCCGTCGGCGACGGCGTGGTGCACGGAGAGGCCGAGCGCGAGGCCGCCGGATTTCCGCGTGGCCTGCACGGACAGCACGGGCGCCGGGAGCACCTTGGTGGGGAGTTCCGGCACTAGCGCCCGGAACGCCGGTATGTCGCGCGCCTCGTCACCCGCGAGCCGGCGGACGTCCATCGCCTTCATACCGGCGCCATTAGCCTCCGCCTCCGCCTCGACGAAGGCCACGCCGGGGTCGTCGGCGCAGTCCACAACCACGTCCCCAGTGTCGGCGACGTACGCCAGCTTCCCGGCCAGGTACACTGCCAGCGTGGCGGCGAGGGAGTTTTTGAGGCGCGCCACCACCGCCCGGAAGTCGGCGTCGTCGCCCCCGGGAAGCTCGTACAGAAACACACGCTGGATGGGCGGCAGCACGACCCATGGCGTGTCGAAGAAGGACAGCTTGACGACGGGGTCGGCAACCGCGCGCTCCACCGGCGCGATGCGCGACACGGCCAGCACGCGCACCGCCGCGGCGGGTGGCGCACCAGCGCCGTTGGCCTCATCATCACCCATTGGTCTTGCCGCCGAACAGAATAGGTACTAGCTACGTAGCAGGCTAGCTAGCAGCTCTAGGGGACGGAGAGAGATTGATAGATTAGTAGTTCTTGGTGCTCAATTAATCACGAATCCCGAAAAGGGAGATGGCCGGCGCTTTTGCTTCTGCCTCGTCTCTCTCTCGCATTCTAACCTTCAACGTATACAGGAATATAAAATGTCCAGACAAATTTAGCAGCTGGTGAATGAATACATATACATATGCACATGATACTCCTTTCCATATACATACCCTATGAACTCTATGAACGTGATATCTAAGGGGTCTTGCGATATTTCAGGTGTCTGAAACAACATGGCTTACATTCAGGAGATAGGTACCGGCCATCAGCTGAGCACAACACGTCGCCTAAACAAAACACACAAATTTCAGGCTAATGATGGATAGGAAAAGTGTAATGATGGATAGGAAAAGTAGATATCTAAACTCTTTGAATTAGTGATGTACGTACTTTACGACTTTATATTAATGTGTATATGTACAGATACTTGTGTCAAAAACGTTATACACAAGCATCTCAATTTTTCTCCTAAAGAAATGCTGGCGATAGTACATACTCTTTGGCCCCGTTCGCTTGTCTGAAAAAAAGAAGCCAAAACACTGTACCGGCTGATTTTGTGAGAGAAAAATATTGTAGCGGCTGAAAGATGCACTGTAGCACATGAGGGGAACAAGCCGAACCAGCCGGCTGGTCTGAAACTTTTAGACCAGCCGAACGTGCCCTTTATGATAAACACTAAAATAATACTTCTCAAGTACAAGCATGCAAATATATTCATTTTTCTCATTAAAGTATGCACCCACATACTTTATTCACGCAGATATGTACATACTTCAGGTTGATGTGTATCAGTGTACGTACTAATACTTAGTCAAACAATTGTACACAAGCGTATCATTTTTCTTCTCAAAATAAATGCCGGTGATAATATAGGTATAAGATAAACAATAAAATAATCCCTTGAGTATATGGATATACTCCAAGTACAAGTATACAAATATATTCATCTTTCTTATTAAAGTAAGCAACCATACTTTATTCACAAAAAAAAGCATATACGCCGCCACAAAATATGGAGGTGATGTAAGGTCCAACGCATGCAAACACTGCTGGAAAAAGAGACTTTGCCGAGTGCAAAATTCTTTGCCGAGTGTTAAAAATCGGGCACTCGGCAAAGACCTTCTTTGCCGAGTACTGCACTCGGCAAAGAATTACACTCGACAAAGAGTTCTTTGCCGAGTGCCAGGCACTCGGCAAACAAGGGCACTCGGCAAAGGACTTCTTTGCCGAGTGCTAGACTCTCGGCAAAATCTCTACACTCGGCATAGGCTGCTCGCGAAACGGTGTTCGGTCACGGCCTTCTTTGCCGAGTGCCTGCTGTTAGGCACTCGGCAAAGATTTGATTTTTTAAAAAAATTCTTTGCCGAGTGCCCCAGATCTGGCACTCGGCAAAGATATAATTTTTTTTAAATTCTTTGCCCAGTGTCTCAGGTCTGGCACTCGACAAAGATTTTTTTTTTAAAAAAAATACACTTTGCCGAGTGCCCCTGACACGGCACTCGGCAAATATATTAATTTTTTTATAATTTCTTTGCCGAGTGCTACTATGGATGCACTCGGCAAAGAGGAATTTTTTTTTAAAAAAATTTAAAACCCTCTTTGTCGAGTGCCTTATGCCTGTCACTCGGCAAAGACACCCTTTGCCGAGTGCCATGCCCCGGCACTCGGCAAAGTTTTTTTTGTTTTTTTGTTTTTTGTCTCCAATTTTTTTTGCAGCTCTTTTAAAGCACCAGGAACTTCTAGTTACAATTTCAGGATTTTTTGTGGCTTTTTAATATATTTAGTTACTTTATTTCGTTTACTTGAATTTTTCAAAAAATAGAAATTTTAACTGCACGTAGTACGAATAATGGAATTTAATGATTCAAAAATTGATAGTCATGTTAGTGAGTGTTGTGAGAGGCCGTATCCAGGAACAGATCCGAAATTTCGGATATCTTGTTCACGAAACATGTCCGCGAAATTGCGTGTGAAGTGTTTTTAAATTCTATAAAAAGTAAACGAAGTCCGAAAATCATGAAACTTGTTGAGATGGCGTGATATCATATGTGGAGGCTATGATAAAAATTTCAAAAGATTTCGTGTACGTTGTTACGTACGATGCTTACAAACCAGGACATCTCTACATGTGAGATCTGATATCACATATGGAGATGTCCTGGTTTGTAAGCATCGTACGTGACAACGTACACGAAATCTTCTGAAATTTTTATCATAGCCTCCACATACGATATCACGACATCTTAACAAGTTTCATGATTTTCGGACTTCGCTTGTTTTTTATAAAATTTAAAAACACTCGCAAGTTCGCGGTCATATTTCGTGAACAAGATGTCCAAAGTTTGGGTCCGTTCCTAGATACGGCCTCACACTATACTCAGTAACATGCTTATCATTTTTCAAGTCATTAAATTTCATTATTCGTACCACGTGCAGTTCAGATTTATATTTTTCAAAAAAATTCAAGTAAACGAAATAAAGTAACTAAATATATTAAAAAGCGACAAAAAGACCCTAAATTCTAAGGAGGAGTTCCTGATCCTTTAAAAGGGCTGCACAAAAAACTTAGAGGCCAAAAACAAAAAAAATAAAAAAACTTTGCCGAGTGTCGGACATGACACTCGGCAAAGGGGCTCTTTATCGAGTGCAAAAATATGACACTCGGCAAAGAGGATTTTTTTTTAGAAATTTTCTCTTTGCCGAGTGGCTTCACAGGGACACTCAGCAAAGGAATTAAAAAAATAAAAAATTTACCGACGGCCGGATCGGAGCACTCCTTTGCCGAGTGGCTCCTGATCCGGCGCTCGGCAAAGGGCGCGGGTGGGGCACTTAGCCGATTTCGCCGGCGGGCAGTCAAACCTCGAGACAGCCAACCACCATCCGCGCCCGCGCCCGCCCCGCCCGCCGCGCGCGCGCGCCGCCCCGTCCCAGGCGCGTGCCACGGCCGCCTTCGCGCCGCCAGCCACCGGGCGCGCCCGACCATCGAATCGCATCTCGCCGAGCACGCGCTCGAGACCTCCGCGACTGACCCATCGCCGCGATCGACCTCCTCAAGGTAAACGAGTCACGGGGACTCTCTCCGCCCGCGTCGCTATTGATTCGTCATCCATTTCCTCTCCTTGCCCAGCCGAAGCCGTTATGACGCCGCCGGCGGCCCCGCCGCCTTGCGGCCGAGAGCGTCGAGAAAGGAGGGCCGTGGCCGCCGCATGCGCCGACCTCTCCGACAAGAGCAGCAAGGAGTGCCGGCTTATGAGCGGGACCTCGAGCGCGCCATGGAGTCCTGCGACGACCTCGCCAGGCTGAACGACGATGACCTCTGCGCACGCCTAAACCAGAACGTACATGTCAGTTACCTCCTCTATTTTTTTCGATCTAATCATGCTACTAGCCTATACTGCTTGCGTGCCTCGATCTGATCTGATCTGTTTCTACTGCTATGCACTAACGAGTGCGTCTAATCGCAGTTCACAAACAGCTAATGATGTCGAACCACTATAAGTCGTTGGGATGCATACAAGCTCTGTCATTTGTTTTTATTATTCAGGCCAAAAGCATGTTTTAGAATTTTATTTAGGGATTAACCCCGGCTTAATCAGCCAAGATATATGTTTTTGATGATGTTCATCATATATAGATCTAAAAAAGGCAATAAAGTATCTGGTTAATACATGTAGCTATCCAAATCACTTGCAGGGTAAATTAACAAATCAGTTCCAATTATAGATATCAGCACGACAAGTACAAAGTTCAGGAACTGTTTTCTTATGTACTGTTATTAATCTACTATTGTGGTGCCACCATGAACCAAATTAGAAGCACATATTGGTAAAGAGTTAAGTGAGCATAAGCATGCTAGAATATATATTCAGCAATCTACACAAATTGAACAAGATATATGTTCATGTTCTATCTATCAGCCACAATGTATCTACGCAACTCCTTACTTCATCCGAAACATTACAAAAAAAGGAAGAGCTCTGCAATGTTCATCTCTCAGTGAACTGTTGCTGTGTTTGTACTCTCCCCGCTACCATTACCGGTTTGTAACTAATTAGCTTTGTATTTCTATGGATCTTCAGTTTTGGTGATTCTCCTTAATCATTTGTCCTCCTAAAATCCAGGTGATTCTCCTACTATTGCCGCCACAATAATTTTAAAGAATTGTGCTTAAAAGACTAGAGCTATGGCTTGTATTTTTCTCGCATCAAGATGCCATCGCATATATTAAAATCCATAGAATAATAATAAGGTTTGAGAAGCCTCTTTCAGATTATCAGAAAGCAAATGTACAGAGTAGATTTATTATGGTGAGATTGCTAATGGATTAAATATTGTACATGTTCACTACAGCAATGTCGTAATAAGTTCTTATCTTAATTACAGCTTTTGTTCATGTACTGATGTTTCTGCAGGTGTTCAGAGTTGCAAACTGGTTCAGGTAAATCCACTAGCATTTCATCCATATTTTTTCTGGGTTATTTATAGATTTGGTGATGCAGTGGGCTTCAGTATGCTTTGTGATAGAGCTGGCAGCAATGACCATATATCAGGTATTATTCTTAATGTGTGCAGATCCAATGTTTGTTTGGGGAATAGCTTACATTTGTAGTAAACACCACAAAGATAGCATTGTTACCTGACCATGGTAAATCGTTTGTCTATTTCTACAATGTTGGTTGTGGTATACCGACCAATTGTTGGTCGTTAATATTATGTTTTAGCGACCATTGTTCGACGTTATAGATTGGCTGTGGTACAGTGTTCTTACACGCTTCAATGTACTAGTTGTTTAACTTTAACATTTCCGTTAGCAACAATGGAAACGAGTCAAGGCAGGCAAGACTCCTACCACACTCATAGATTTGCTATTTATCAACGCCCTCGTGTCTTGGTGGCGATGCTTGCCTCGTGAGTTCATCAAGTCATTCATCACACAGCAACAGATCTTCACCGGGAATGCTGGCTTGTCCTGCCGGAGTCATCGGAAACTCATCGCCTTCACCTGGAACCAGGATACTCACAAGATCAGCATGTTATCATAAGCGAAACATGTATTTAAGTCTTACTGCTTATTGAAACTTTACGCAATTTAAAAAACTTTACTAAAGCAGTATTATTGTTTGTACCAAAATTGAAATGTCATGTTTGTTCCAATGGTGCATACGTCTCTTATGCTAGTAAAAAAGCACTTCCTAACCATATGTGCAATATGGCCTGCTGCTCATTCTCTTATTTAGCATACCTATCTAAATAACTCTGCATAAATAACTCTACATGTAGGGAATGCTTTTTATTTTTTATTTCTGTTCTATTTGATTTAGAAGCTTAGTGCTTTGCTCTTTTCTTTTCTTTTCAGCAACAACAATCAGCAATAGCTATGCTATAATTTGTAAGTTCTCTTGTCCAGGTATTACTAGTTCCAGCAATTATCAGACTAAATGTTATTTCTCAAATGATATTGGGTCAACAACTTGCCTTGTCTTTCATTGGATTCAGATTTGAATTTTTTTTTCTGTATTTTGGTATGACCATGACAATTATCTTAAATAATATTTTCAATGGGTGTAGACTTTGGTTGAGTACCAAATAATCAATTTCATCACAATTTGTAAATGAGGAAATGTCGCTAGCTACATCCTGAATATTATAAAGAATAGATTTCATGATCTGAGTACATTTTATAAAATCCTTCAAGGTTTGCAAAGACAACAAATCTTGACTGATATCTCCTCAAACTGTGACCTAAACAAGCATTATCCTTGCCTCTGAATTGCATTGAAAGTAGACGTTATTGATAGGACTGTAAACTATAAAGTCAGTAGTAAGAACTGACTGCTTGCATTTGGTAAATTTAAACTTATTTTATTGCCATATAACAATGTGATTCGAATATGTATGATTCACTTGCAAGGTTGTTAGCAATGTCAAATGGCCTGTTCAGAAACTTATTTTATTTCATTTGCTTGGATTTGGGTTTTGGAACTCGGTGAGGACAGGTGCAAATCCATCAGTTCTTGTGCTTCTCAGGTTGTGTTGGTCCATCAGTTCTTGTGCTTCTCACTTCTCAGGTTGTGTCGGTAGTTAGCTTGTCTCTGTAATTGCAAAATTACCTCAGTTTCAGTACATGCTTTTCAGTGAAGGCAGAACGAAATAGTTGAAATGGCTTTGCATGTACTTGCAGTTTGGTTTCAAGAGCTAGCAGTTTATAGTTTTGGAGCTTAGTGGATTTTCAAATGCTAATTAGAGCTTTTGTTAGCCTAGGTATTGTTAGATCTATTTAAGCTCATTACTTGGTACTTATTTTCTTTTAGTTCATTATTGGCTACTTATTTTCTTTTGTGCTGTTTGGTTCATTTGCAGGTTAAAGCAAGGAGTAAAGCGAGCAACATGGGAGCTTCAGATTTTTTTTTAAAAAAAAAATTCAAACTTTGCCGAGTGCCTGCCAGAGGCCACTCGGCAAAGAATTTTTTTTTTAAAAAAAAATCAAACTTTGCCGAGTGCCTTCCAGAGGGCGCTCGGCAAAGAATTTTTTTTTAAAAAAAAAAAATCAAACTTTGCCGAGTGCCGGCCAAAGGGCACTCGGCAAAGAATTTTTTTTATAAAAAAAATCAAACTTTGCCGAGTGCCGGTCAGAGGGCACTCGGCAAAGAATTTAAAAAAAAATCAAACTTTGCCGAGCGTCGGCCAGTAAGAACTCGGCAAAGAATTTTTAAAAAAAATAAAAATCTTTGCCGAGTGCCTGCAGGGTTGGCACTCGGCAAAGCCACCGTCAACGGATTCGGCGCCGTCACGGTCGCTTTTCTTTGCCGAGTGCCACCGGGACTCTCGGCAAAGCCTTTGCCGAGTGCCCGATAAAAGACACTCGGCTAAGAGGTCTTTGCCGATTAATTTTTTACCGTGTGTTTTTTGCCGAGTGCAATTAGGCCTTTGCCGAGTGCCTCAGGCACTCGGCAAAGAACCTGAATCCAGTTGTGAAACGGCTTCGCAATTAGCGGGGGCGGGGAAACTTAACAGGTTTAACGCGTGCAAGTAGCTTTCGAGTTAGCAGGAAAAAAAACTCACCTGTTAAGTTTTTTTTCGGCTAACTGCAAAGGTGGTTAGAGCATCTCCGACTCACCATATATATCTCCGTAATATCTAATTTAGGTGCCGTTTGTATCCTTTCATTTGGAGGAATTAAAATCTATTTAATAAATTAGGCCATTTGGCTTATGATTTGACATTCCACCGCTTTTCAAAGTTTACATAAAGGCTATCTCAAATTCAAAGCGCTTCTTCAGGGTCCAGCAAACATGTATAACGCCCAACACAGTCTCTGCAACAGTTACCTTGCTTGCAGAAAACAAACTTTGATCCATAAGCGGTGTATACGGCCCCAAACTGACTCGGATAAAATTCTATTCATGCAAGAAATTATGGACCTGAGGCAACAAGTCCCACCAGCGTGGCTAATACTAGGGGATTTCAATCTAATCTATTGAGCTGAAGACAAAAACAATTCACGCATAAACTTGTCCACTGCTCAATAACTTCAAATACACCATTGACAACCTGGAACTAGCACCGATTGACCTCCAAGGGAAAAAATTCACTTGGTGTAACAATCAGCAAACGCCCACAATGACCAAGATCGATCACATGTTCGTCTCAACAGACTGGCTAGAAATTTTCCCAAGAACCCACCTTCAAGCTCTAGTATCGCTCGGCTCTGACCACTGCGCTCTCTTTCTCCAAGGGGACGTCGCACTAGATTTGTATAGAGGATTCAGATTTGAGACGTATTGGGCGTCCATGCCCGGTTTCAGTGACATGGTCCAAGAAGAATGGAATGAAGTGGCAAACGCACATGATGATATTTTGCGCATTCATGTCAAATTACTGCGCACGGCCAAGGCACTGAAGAATTGGAGGTGAAAATCTTTGTCCGGCTACAAGATTACATGGGTCATTATAAACATAACTTTGGTGAACCTTGAAAGGGCTCAAGAGGTGAGAAATCTAACATCAGAGGAATGCGATTTCAAAAAATATCTAAAGACAAAGGCGCTTGGGTTTGCAGCGATGCAAAAAGCGGAGCACGCCAACACTCGCGACTGACGTGGATTCGTAAAGGAGATACATGTTTCTTCCAACTGCATGCCAACATAAGAAGGAAAAAAACTTATATATCAGCGTACTCAACAGAGATTCGGGCTTGGTAGTCTCACAAGAAAATAAATCCATACTAGCACAGGCTCACTTCTCAAATATCTTAGGATCAACAAGCTTACGATCAAGGGCTATTAATTGGAGCGAGTTAGGATATGCCCCTCGTGATCTTGAAGATTTGGATGCACCTTTCACAAAACCGGAAATCAAGGCTGTAGTGAAGGGAATGCCAGCTGAAAAGGCATCGGGTCCGGATGGCTTCATTGGAGTCTTTTATAAAAGGTGTTCGCAATTGTGAAAGAAGATTTGATTTGGGCGGTAATGAGATTCTACAGCCATCGAACGGCAAGACTATTTTTAATTAACGAAGCTAACATCGTTCTGTTGCCCAAAACACAAGATGCAGCATCACTATTGGATTACTGTTGATGGTCACTAACACCCATTTTGATTATCAACATTTCGCCCAAAAGTAAGATAAAGTAAGGTAAAACATCATCACATGTGTCAAATTTTCTTTATAATTCACCTAGTTCCACTTGTACTTGGAGATTTATTTGTACGCAGGAAATTTGATAAAAATGGTGCAAAATATGAACATAGGAGGCAAGTAGACGTGGTAGGGGGCCATGGGCCCACATGGCCACGTCGACCGACGCCATGTGGTGTCGCCCGACTCCCCATTTGGCCCTGCCACGTCACTGATCCATGGGAGAGGCTCCACAAGGCTTCACCATCGTTGATTCAATGTCGGTTTGATCAATGGACAAGATGGAGTTGCCTTGGATCCATGGGGCCACTGTCATCCACTTGGAGGGCTCCAACTAACCTTCAAACCGCCTTTCTACCCAAACAACTGACTTATCTGCCATGCAACCGCCATTTGGAGAGCAACCAATGCCCTACGATCAAGAGGCGGTGGAATCCAACGTCGGTCGACGCCCCTAGACGACGTCCTCCGACGCCCAAGGCACTCCAACCGACCTACTTGATGGCCTATAAGTACCCCCACTGCCTTTACACACTATAAAAGAGGTAGTGGTGCTCGGTGGAGAAGTGCCCATACACATTCAAGCATTCCAAGCTTCTCCAAGCTCTCTAGTTTAGAGTAGCTCTAGAGTAGTAGCTTAGGAGTGGAATAGAGCTAGAGCGGAGCTTCTTCGGAGTCTGGAAGAGTCTTTTGAGTCTGGTATAGCTCTTTTGTAATTCTTTCGTTTAGCATTCACTTTATTCAGTACTTCATTTTCAGTACTTTATTAGTATTATTGCTTTGTTTAGTTCAAGTACTTGTTCATTGTTGTTCATAGTGAGCTTAGGTGCTTGCTCTTAGCATTAGTATCATAGGTTACCTTTTGTTTAGTAGTCATTCGTTAGTACCAGTTCCATCGTCTGGTTAAGATGCTTTGATCTCATTTCATCAAAGCTCGGATTGAAGTAGTAAGTTTATATATTAAACGTGGCGCTTAGGCTATAGATTACCTGTGGATACGGCTAGACCTCCGGATATATTGTGATAGTTAGCAAGTGGTGACAGCCTTGTCCATCCTCTGTATTCCATTACGATAGGTCTAGTTATTAAATCATTGGATTTAACCCTCTTCGTTTGTAGGCGGGCTATGTCTCGAAGTATTAAGAATTCCTTCTAGTCAATTAGTTTACCTTTGTTACTTAAGATATTGCTCGGTCTTCTACCTAGCTATCCTACCTCTAATTTAGCTTGTTTACTGGTTCATCCATTTACACATCACTCACCATTTCACGTACACCACGGACCTGGGCGCCCTGCCGTCCAGCCACCGCAGGCAGGTGTGGTCTTCCTTCCAGAGGCTGGCGCGGATTGTGCCGAGCGCTGCTGCATCTGCGTCGACGACGACGTCAGGGTCAGGGTCAGGGACGGCGGCGGCCAGCCGCTCGAGGAGGAGACTGATCGAGCGGGCCGATGGTGTAGACGGGCGGCAGCAGGATGCCGCGCATGGCGTCCAGCGCCGTTGGCTCGAGCTCATCGAAGGTGTTGAGGATGACGGCGGCCGCGGCGTTCGTGCGCGACACCTCGTGCATCATGAAGTCGCGTCCCTCGAGCGGGATGTCGCCGCGCTGCATCGTGTAGATGAAGCTCCGGAAGTCCCTGAGCCGCATGTGCTCGCTCATCCCGCGCGCCCACCCCACCGGCGTGTCCAGGTACCCGTTCGTCACCTGCGCTTCGTCTGCAGCATGCATGCTCAGCTCTAATCGATCGATCGATCACATATATGCAAGTAGAACAGGCCGTCCAGAAGAGCAGGCACGGCACCCCCATCCCATCTCCTTGGCAGGTGGCAGCGTCCAAGCTAAAGCTCATGACGTTGTCCGCCACGACGTCGCACGTCACCAGGGGCACCGCGCCGTCGCTGTTTGAGGCGGTCGAGCAGGCTCTTGAGGTGCGGGAGGCAGGTCTTCATGGTGGAGTCGCAGAGCCAGGTCGGGTCCTGCGTGGCGTCGGGGTCCGAGTGCGGCAGGCCGTCGGGGATGGTGCGGCTTCTTGTCTCGCCGGCTGCCATCTCTCGCTCGTCGGCCGGAAAGGATCGGATCGGAGGGAGTAATGCTGTGCTATGTTCAGGATTTTTCTGTGTGGTGGTGCGATCTGCTTCTGGATTGTAGGCGCTGATATATATAATCATAACATAACATATACGTACATGAACATATACAGACGTACGTGCCTCCCGGTGAGTATCGTGTCACTTGCATTGGCAACTACTAATTTAGATTACCCTTGTATTTTCGTCTCGCCTTTTCATCTCCCAAATTGCCCTCGCGTCCCACCCTATTCTGAAGTCACTAATATTAAATCACGCGACACATTCGATTTGGACGTCTGCTTACCCCTATTCTTGCGATGCCGCCCTTCTCAATTCCCGGTGACGCATCAGGACCATCGAATGTGCTCGTCTACTCCACCCCACAACCCACACCATCGGTCAATCCGTCTCCCCACGAGATCGATCAACCAGTTTATCTACTAACTGCTTCACCGACGCAGGGCTTGACCTCCATGGCTTGGCCATGGCCGAGCGGCAGGCTAATGCTCACTAGCGTCATATCCTGGTTGAACAGCAACGCGTTCCACCTGATAGTCTGGCACCGCTTCGGCCACTTCCATCCTTCAACCATAATGGCGTTGGCGTTGGCGTTAGTGCAGAACATGAACATAACACAACGCCTGATCATTGTCGACGGACGATGACCTTTGTGTTTTCGCCGTCATCTCTGAGCACGTAGTGACTGGTGAGTGGCAAGAGAATGGGGTGGCCTCCTTCGTCGTGCCTAGCAGGAACATGTACGTACGCGACATTGCCCAGCCAGTTCCTCACGGCCTCTTCAATAGCCGGAAACACACTCAAAATTTACATACGAGCTCTGCGATGAATGTAAACCCATGTGCGAGAATGGGATAAGAACTACTCCGTAGATAGGAACAGGGAAAAGGTTTGCTCATCGCTGTTTCCGAGGTCGCCACTTGTGTCCTCGTGCCCTCCGTATCCTGTTCGCTTGTCTTATAATCCGTACTTTTCAGCTTGTTTTTTAGCCGGAATAATGTTTTTCTCTCACAACAAATCAGCTGGAATAGTATTTCGATTTATTTTTTCAGCGAAACGAGGACCCTATATGGCCTAGATTCATGCATGGTCCCGCGCTCATACGAGCTGGAACAAGTCACGACTAACGATTACACATAATCCAATTTCAAGACACTGGGTCACTTGCAGCGCATGAACACGTACGTTTGCTATTATGCTAGTAAGATAATAATATATGAATTATTACACGGTTGTACGAGCAACCATCTTTTTTATTCATCCGCACGTCGCATATAAAAGGGCCAGTTTATATTGAGTACTACAGGGCCCTTCGCCCACCTAGTACGCATGTGGAACGTGTGTAAAATGTGTAATTGTATTGTAGTCCGCATGTGTTTTTTTTTTCCCTGAAGAAACATGCATGTTGTGTTTGTACTGTCCCTACTACGGCCGTACGGTTGCATGCGACCATGTGACGCCATCTCTTACCCAAGCATCAGTGTACGCGTGTGTGTGTGTGTGTGTGTATATATAGAGAGAGAGAGAGAGAGAGAGAGAGAGAGAGAGAGAGAGAGAGACCTGTACGCCGTCGCCGTCGATCGTGACGTTCGCGTCGCTCCCGGCCTCTCTGCTTGGTTCCTCTGCTCCGCCATTGTCATCGATCAATGCAAATAAAGTCGTCGACGACGATGTTTTTCCTCCGGTAATCTACTAGTATATACGTAGCTAGCTTCCAAACAACCGCGCCGTCCGTGAGCCTCTCGTTGGCTCTCTGCCTCTCTCCTGCAACTGGCACACTGTGTCGTGTAGCAGCGGCAGCGCAAGGCGGCCGGCCGGCCACGCCCAGCATGTGGTATGTTCCGTTCGGCTAACAGAAAGCGGGAGCTGAGATCCAGAGAGACGTGCCACGTACAACCTGAGCTCACACTGTCGACGTGTGTGTACATGTCTCTGCGTTCGCGTATCCATCTACTTTGCTTACGTTTGGCGTTCGTTCATCACATGCATCCGTAACGTGCCCGCGGCCGGCCAGCCCAACCCCAACTGATAGATTACGTAGACAGACGCTTGCAGTATCACTTGTTTTCTTGACGTATATAACGCCCGGCCGGTCGCGGAGATTAATCTACCGGCCAGTTCGAGCCTGATTTGCTACGAATTCAATTCAAATTAATTCAGTGCATGGTGGTGAGATCCAAATCCAATCCAACGAGACATGGCGATCGATACGGATACGGTGGTTTCCTAGCTAGCTTGGGCCATAAACCTCGGTCCAGTCCTCCAATCGGCATCGATCCAGCGTTGTACTTGAACTATATAGAGCTACCCGCGAGAGAGACGACGAGCCGGCGCAAAAGCGCACTTGAACTCGTCTTCCTCGTCCTCGAAAACACCGGTCGGCGCGGCTTCAATCCACCCGTCGTCGTGTGCTCCAAGAGCCGAACCGATAGCACTCCCCCCTCTCCCCTACGGCTGCTAGCTAGCTAGCAACAACCGTTCGGCGGCGACCGACACCGATGGGCGAGGCCAACGCCAACGCCACAGGCGGCGCGCCACCCGCCGCCGCCGCGGCGGTGCGCGTGCTGTCCGTGTCCCGCATCACGCCGGCGCCGGCGGAGGGCGCCACAGCCGGCGCTGACCCCGTCGTCGTCAAGCTGTCCTTCTTCGACACGCCCTGGGTCGTGCTGCCGCCCATCCAGCGGGTGTTCCTGTACGAGCTTCCCGCCGGGGGCGACGTTGACGGCGACGGTCACGAGTTCACTGCGGCGGTGGCGCGCCTCAAGAGCTCCCTCGCCGCCACGCTGGCGGTGTACCTGCCGCTGGCCGGAAAACTGGCGTACGTGGCCGCCACCGGGGACGTGGTCGTAGACTGCGCCGACGACCCCGGCGTGGCCTTCGTCGAGGCCGAGGCCGACGGTACCGACACCGACACCTTCGACGTGCGCCGGCTCGCGGGCGACGAGGCGCACGACATCCCGGCGTTCCTGGCGCTGGTGCCGGACCTCTCCACCAAGGTGCTCCCGGCGCCCGTGCTGGCCGTGCAGGCCACGCGGCTCCCAGGCCGCGGCGGCGGACTCGCGCTGGGTCTCTCCGTGCACCACGCCGTCATTGACGGCCAGGCCGTGTGGCGGTTCATGGCCGCCTGGGTGTCCGCCGCCCGCGAGGGGTCCCCCGTCACCAAGTCCCTCCCCGCGCCGCACTACGGTCGGGAGGCCATCCGCGTCCCCAACGGCGACGAGTCCGCGCGCCAGATGCTCAAGATGATCGCACCCAAGCTGCCCGTGGTACGTGTACAGTGCCAAGCTTACAACTTTTTGTGTACGTGTGCAGTAGTACCTGCACGGTTTTTGTGTGTTGTCTGTCTGTCGTGACGGAATGGCTCACGGGACCTCTTGCTTGTGTGTGTGCGTGCAGGCCAGCACCGTGGCGGACTACGACTTCAGCCAGCGCTTCCGCCTGGCGCGCCGGACGTTCTACCTCTCCGGCGATGACATCCGGGCGCTCAAGCGCCGCATCGACGCGCTCGCCGCGGCCGAGGACAAGGACGACGCCGTCGTCGCCGACGGCAGTAATAACAGCAACAGCACCACCACCACCCACAGCAGAAACAAGAAGCCGGTGTCGACGTTCGTGGCGCTGGCGGCGCTGGGCTGGACGTCGTTCGTGCGGTCCAAGGGCCTGGTCGCCGGCGACGACACGTACCTGGTGTTCCTCGCCGACCTGCGCGCGCGCCTGGACCCGCCGGTGGGGGACGGCTACCTGGGCAACTGCATCAAGGGCGTGCTGGCGACGGCGGACGCCGGGGACCTGCTGCTCGACGCCGAGCGGGGGCTGCTGGCGGCGTCGCGCGCGATCCAGGCGGCCGTGGCGGAGATGGAGGCGGCGCCGCTGGCGGGAACGGAGCGGTGGCTCGAGAAGATGATGGGGCTCCCCTTCACGCGCCTCTGCAACGTGGCCGCCAGCCCGTGGTTCCGCGTGTACGAGGCGTCCGACTTCGGGTTCGGCCGCCCTGCCCGCGTGGAGCTCGTGTCCATGAACCACGACGGCGAGATCGTGCTCGTCGGCGGGAGGCGCGACGGCGAGGTGCAGCTGTCCGTGTCGCTCGACCCCGCGCGCATGGACGAGTTCAAGGCGCACGTCTTCGCCACCTCGTCGGCGCCGGAGGAGGAGGCCACCAACAGATCGACGAAGGCAGAGACGAGTGCGTGATGAACAAGAGACATACAGATCATGTGAAACAAATTAAGCATGCGTGCAGCTACTGTAGATCGAACTAAGTATTTTTCACGAACACATTTCTACACCTTAATTATAAAGATTCGCAAATCTTTTGCGCATTCGAAAAAAAGTATTTTTCACGAGAAAAAACTAAATATCTTTTTGTCTAGTTCTGACGGTTATCAATTCCTTCGTCAATCACATTTTTTTTCTGGAAAACGAGGGACTGCGCATACATGAAGCGTGAGAAGGACATGCTATGTTGACGTGTTGTCGCCATGCATAGCATCGATATTCGATACGATGTTAAGATCCGTGACGACGTTTTTTGGTGGATGGTTGGATGTCTGATGCTAGTGATGCATGAGTCATCGCATGAATGGACGTCGATGCTTCCAAAGTTCCAAAGTCCAAACATCCGAGTTACCGATCGAGTCCCAACAAACGACAGTCCGGCCGGGTGGGCCCTATAGCTAGCTGAGCTCAAAATAGGGTTTCGCCAGGAATATGGTGGCTAAACAGCCTCCGATATTCTAGCTTAAGACGAAGATTTTCTCATGCAGATTGAGAAAGCCTCGGAACGTCTGCCCCACCTATACACAGTGGTACCGTAGCTCCGTGAGATGAGCTAGTCACATGCTAGAATGCAAGCAATAATTTTGACATAAATTTTGATAGCTAGAAATAAAACATAAGTTTTGAAAGCTAGAAATAAGTTGAACGCATTTCATGTATGTGTTTTGGGCTCTATTGCAGCGCTCGGATGACGGCAAGGAGCAGATTCGTGATGCTTACGAGCTACTAGAATCGAGAGCCATGGAGCTATTCGCATCGAATGGATGGTCCTTCATTTATCGTCTTAAACTTTAGTTCTGAACCTATAATAATAATAAGATTTAATTGTGGGTGTGCTGCTGTAATAAATTTGAACTGATTCTTCTTCTTCCTGAAGCTGAAAATTTTCCATTATCTAAAAACTCAATCAAACAATAAAGGGGCCGCAAAAAGCCACATCTGCAACAAGCCTCGCAAGGTTCATCAGGTACCAGCCCACATCTGCAACAAGCTCCGCAAGTTTATTTATTTATTTATTTTGGTGGAATAAGCCTCGCAAGGTTCATCAGGTACCAGCCAAACGCAAAACAAGCAGAGCTCCATTAGTTAGGTTCAGAGGCGCCGTTCCAGAGTTTTTTTTTTTTGGCCCAGGTCTAGCTTAATCCGCTTTCTCAAGATATTTTACTATATACGTATACATACAATCTTATAAATACACATCAATTATAAGAAGATAATATTTAATGCATTAAAATAATTTATATAGAATATCTTCCAAGTTCCAAGTTCCAGCAAACGACTGTCCCTGGCAGGCCCTAGCTAGGTTGGCTCCAAAATGCGAACCCTGATGGTTGACGTATTTGCACTTTGTTTGTTTCCACATGTTTGTCAATAACCAGTACCACTGTGTAGTGCTCTGTTGACGTTTAATTAGGTCACACACTCGATAAGGAGCTATATCGTTCGATGTAGGGCCTAGCCGATTTTTGGATCGGCCGGTGCCTAGGGGATGTCCACACCTAGACCTTGTGCCTCCAGTGATGAGCGCAATACGACGTCGCCGGAGGAGCCTCGCCAGGAGCGCGATACGCAAGACATGCCGGCGAGGTCTCTTGAGACCCGAAACCCCACACGCCTGGGAGGGACCCCGTTGGGGCATGCAGCGGCTATGGGTTGCTCTAGCCGGCCTGGCCGCTCTAGAGCTTCACCGTCGTCGATCCACCGTCCATGCAACGCCGATGAAGAACGAGGAGAAGAGATAGATATGAAAAGAAGGTAGAGAGAGGTAGTAGATGATTTTTTGACGATTGAGTGTTGGATCCTTCAATCGGTCATGATCCACTCATATATATAGAGGGGGTGGTCTTATCCGAAAAGGAAACAACTTCAAATCGTAATCTCCAAGTTTTCTATGTAAAAATATGTCCAAATCCCGATTAAATAAGAGTTTAGATCGAATTCATACAGTCAAACCGGCCTAGCCCGATGGGAAACCAAACTGACTAGTCCACAGGCAATCCGGCCCGGGCTGCATGGCGCACAGAGCAGGTTGGCTAATAGGCAAGCAGCAGCGACGGCCATCCAACTTGGCCGATCCTGCAGGGGAGGGGACGCTGGCATGTGGCAGCAGCAGGACATCAGCGCACGGCAGGCACCAGCAAGCAGTATCAAATAACAGGGCAGGACTTATGCACCAGCGTGCGTCCAGCAGAACAGCAGCATGCAGGCATGCAACAGGGTAGCGGCGTGCAACAAAGCAGCCAGCGAAGCAGCGGCATGCAGCAGGAGTTAGCAGCCAGCAGGGGGCCCCAGCCGGCCAGGCCAATCAGGCCAAAGGCCCGGCCATGACCAGTAGCAGGCCTGGCTGGTTCGGCAAAGGCGCAGCAGGAGCGGCCTGCCGGCCTGGCTGGTTCCCAGACCGGCCAGGCCGGTTCCACTGGATGATAGCACCTATTTTTCTCATTTCTTTCTCCAAATGTTTGCACAATATTCCAAATATATATTTGTGACAATATTAAGCCCAGAAATATTTCCTAAAAACTATCTCATGCTTTCAGGCCAATTTTAGTCGTCAACATATGTACCCCTATTTTTAGGTGAAGCTTTAGGTGAACCTGAAAACACAAGAAACTAAATAGCAACGATGTCCAGCTCATCGGCTATCTAGCGACTAAGGGCGATGTATATATCGGCCATATTTGCTCTAAGGGCGATACATGCATCGACCATTGCCTAGATAGCTCTCAAGCTTCTCGCCAGACATTGGAAAGTATTTCTTCAAATACCTTCCGTTAATTGCTCTAGGAAGACGTTCACCTTACAATGTCTCTAGCATGTATGAATTTTCGAGCACCACTTCATCTTCGGAGCCGATTGATGTGTACAATAAACACCTCCATGGACTTCTCCCACGGCCACTCTAGCCTAATCATCATCCAAGCATTTAAGCTACATATCTTTGGCAGTTCTCCTATATAATTCACCATTGTACAAAATAAATTTGAAAGCACTCCGCCAAACATTCTTATCAACTTTAATACTTGGATCACATAAATATGCAACAATGGGAGCCCCCAATCACTTGAATCGGCTTTAGCATCAACATGGAATATTTTAAGCCGATTTGGGGAAAAAAATATCATGAGCAAACCGGCTTGGCGGTTTTCGGAACCGGCTTTGGTCGGTTCATCATTAGAGGAATGCAGAACCGGAACGGCCGGTTGGCGATTTTGCGTGCTCGAGAATAGCAATGCGGCGCATCGGCTCTCTTTTGATGTGAAAATTCCGCCCACCGACGTTATAACCTGATGCTTGTTGAGCCCACATGTTAGCTTTGTGATTCTCATGCCTCGGAATATGCCAAATTTGAAATTCGGCAAATTGCTTGATGATATCAAGGCACTTGTCAAAATAAATATATAGTGACCCTTCTAAGCATTGGAACCATCATGTGACTTGCTGCACAATCAGTAAAGAATCAACAAAAGCTAGAACATGCTCATCTCAGCATCAAGACAGCATAACACCGATACAACCTCTTTGGCAATAATATATGATGTGAATGGAGATCCTCTCCTAAATGCACGAAGAACCGGTGGTGTTGATAGATACTCCTTGAGAAGCATGATTAACTTTATAATTGGCTTCTGACTCTTGACATACAAACGTCGGCCATGGGCTAGTGCCAATCCCAATCTCAACTATTCTCCACATGGGTTGGCCGACGTGAAGCCCTATCCAAATAGAATTTACACAACATGATTATATGGAGCCGATCATCAATCAGCTCTAGAAAAACGGGAACAAAGCCTCCTCTAGTGACTCAAAACCAACAAGGTCCCTCCCTGACAAGCAAATCATATCATCATGCCCCCAAGCAAAGGGGCATCGACCGTGGCATAGGCCGATGAGTCTGCATGGACGATCTCGACTTCATTATTCACCCACTGAATGAGGAACTGGTGCAAGCTAGAAGGAACACATCGATTGCCATGAATCCATTCGCGTCCAAGAATCAAACTGTAGCTCCCTTGCACCTCTGCAACGAAGAAGACTGTGGCCAACATTTTGCTCCTGATAGTAAGCTTCATCAAGGGGCTGAAATAGAATTTCCTCCAACACCTTTGATCGTCCTTTTGGTCTTGATCAGCTCCTCATCAATTCCACCAAGCTTCTTATAATCTCCGCTATCCACCAACATGTTGTTGATCAGTTCGCCATTAATGCAGCCCTTCACATGCAGTGGCTTGAGGTGATTCACGGAGTCTTCTGGCTTCTGAAATATAGCAATCTAAGGTACAAAGCCAAATTGAGCAATCTTCTCATCGTTGCCCACAAAGTAGTAGTTGGAAGATGAATAATCCATATCACTCTCTGGTCTGACCGGAGACACTTCATGATCCACCAACTTATCTTCTTTGTTGTTGTGGGACACCTCAAAATTTATTGGAACAATAGCATCAATTGCAGTGGCCGAATCATCCAAAGATGCATTGGGGGCTGCTAGGACTAGAGGAACCGTCCTAGCCAGTTTGGCAGTGTTGGTGGCCAGGGAAACCGTACTGGCCGGTTCCTGAACCGGCCTAGCCGATTTGACAGTGCCAACAGGGTATGAATTGGCCGTCTTTTCTCCCTTTTTGCTTGTTTGAGGAGAAATTTGGTGGATCTTGTTGAATTATTCTTCCCCAAACTTTGCTAACTCCTCTTGCTTGAGCTTCTTGCATCAAGAACGCAGGAGTTTGTGCCTTTGTGCTCTCGACAAACCTAAAGGGCACCATGTTGGTTGGGAGTTCGCTAGAGCCGATGAATTATTCCGAGCCTCATGATCAGTAGCAACAATGACCTTGGATGTTTTCTTCTGATCAGATTGGTCCAGATTGCTAATAACAATCGGTCCTTCAATTTCTTTGATTGGAACATCTGCGGAGTCAATTTTG